ACAAACAGTTCTCCAAATATGTTTTCACATCAATAGGTTTTTTAAAGAGATTATATTCTGTAGAGATTCAAGAGTCATTATAAAACACATTTCATTCAAAGTTAAAGCTCCGCAGGGCACACAAAAATACAACCTGGAACATTTATCTAAAATTTTACAGGTGATAAAAGGAGCAATGGCGCCCTCTCTTGTTTATACCACCACATTGCAATGTATCATTATGCTGCTTCCATGTATTTAGTGCTTTTGCTGCAAAATAAAAAGCACTAAATACATGAATACATATAAATACTAATAACGGCTGCTACGTCAGTGGTGCCACAGCCTTGATCTTTCAGCGGGAGCTTCAGGCAACGTGGGATAAAGTGTCTTGCCCAAGGACAAACAACAGCAGACATTGGTGGGAATGCTCCACCAACTGAACTACTGTCGCCCCGTATATGTATATAATCTGATATTTCATTGATAGTATCTAATAATAATTGGCATAAAGGAATTGCAAATAGGGGCCTGAATTTATATTATGTACAATATATAAAATCTATGTACACACAGACAACATATGATATAACTCTACACCGTTGTTGTGACTGTAATGATTGAGTGCATAAGTCTAGTTAGCACAAACCCTGTCAGCTTTGACTCGTGCAAATGTTGCTGAATCATTCATAACTTTTTTCTTAATCTTGAAAACTTTCTGCATGTTCTTCAGAACGCCAACGAAGAATCAGATCCACTAAATTACTATTCAAATAAATTAAAATGACTTTGTTAGACTGAATGAATGACTGCTCGGACACATGTTACCAAAAAGCCAGAACAGTACTTCAACACATTCCACTCATCTATAAATCGAATCAATCCCCTGCCCTAACTGGAGAAACCAAAAAGCTGTGTTATTCACAGTAATATATCGACCTCCTTGTCCCTACTGTGAGTTCTAACAGAGTTCTCTGATTTGATTTAAAATCTAGTTGGAATAGGAAAATCAATCAATCTTACTTTATTTATAAAGCGCTTTTCATACAATAAAATGCAACACAAAGTGCTTTACAGCTGAGTCAAAATCAATACAACATGCCCAATAAACCCCAAAGACCCACCCATAAACCACCCTAATTATTATATATACATCGAGATGCATATACCCGTACACGCGCACGCACACGCACACGCACACACAGACACACACACACACGCGCACACAAAGACATATAAAATCACAACAGACAGGTAAAATAGGTAAAACTATGAAAAGATATAGGGCTGGGTGCGGATGCATCCAGCTGAAGAAGCGCCATCCATGGAGCCATCTGCACCAGGAGCAGAGAGCCGCTTGCAGCCACAGGGGACGACACAGGACCCAGAGGAGAGAGGAGGCCCCAGACCTCCCACCAGGCCCCCATAGGACCCGGAGGAGAGAGGAGGCCCCAGGCTCCTACTAGATCCAAAAGCCGGACCCCCGCAGCACAGCAGACCGCCGCTCCCAGTGCAGAGGGCTCCTCCAGAGGAAACACTGGGAATACTAAAACCATACAATAAGATAAGATAAGATAAACCTTTATTAGTCTCACAGTGGAGAAATGTCAGTGTCATCGTTGCACATTACAGCAGAGAAAGGAAATAAGAGCACTCAGATTGCACACATCAAAGTCTATCCATCCATCCATCCATCCAATTTCTTCCCCTTAATCCATTTCTGGGTTGGGGGGGTGGCAGTCAGAGCTGCACCCAGTTCACAGAGCACCAGCCCCTCACTTATCCTCCTGCAGGTGGTGAGTCCACAGGAGCTGAGATCTTTCAGCAGGGGCTTCAGGCAAAGTGGGGTTAAGTGTCTTGCCCAAGGACACAACGACAGCAGTCATCAGTGGGAGTCGTGAAGTAGGTCTTATGGTGGGCTCAAACCCACGATCTTCAGGCCCAAAGGCCAGTGCTCTACCAACTGAGCTACTGTCGCCCCTATTATTATTATTATTATTATTATTATTATTTAAGATAATAGACAATAAATTTAAGATAAAATAAAATAAAATAAAATAAGAAACTCTGGGCTATAATTGCACTTGGTTCGGAGTATTTACAGATGTCTATATTATACATTAGCAGCAGAGAATATGAGAATATGAATATGAGCAGAATAAGCATCAGAAATAATATCAACAGGTAAAGTGACTGTTGATATTATTTCATTTTTATTTCAGGACCCTCCTGTCCCCCACCTGCTGCACTGTGTCCAGGGAACAGCCCAGGACTGAGCTGGACTTCCTGATGACCTTGTCCAGCTTCTTCCTGTCCCTCTCTGTGATGCTGCTGTTCCAGCAGACCACACCGTACAAGATGGCTGATGCCACCACAGAGTCATAGAAGGTCTTCAGGAGTGGCCCCTGCACTCCAAAAGACCTGAGCCTCCTCAGCAGATAGAGCCGGCTCTGGCCCTTCATAAAGAGTAAAACAGCTACCTAATATTAAGTGACAAAACAGAATACATAAAATTAAATAAATAAATAAGAACCAAAATAAGATCTGTCTAAAGCACAATAAATACTAATCAAAAGCTAATCTAAAAAGGTGTGTCTTGAGCCTACTTTTAAAAATATGAACGTTCTCTGCGGCCCTGAGCTCCTCAGGCAGACTGTTCCAGAGACGGGGGCCGTAGTGCTGGAAAGATGCCTCACCGTGAGTGTGTGTCCTGACTTTGGGGATGGTTAGGAGTCTGCTGCCGGAGGAGCGCAGGGGCCGGGAAGGTTCATAGGATAAAAGAAGCTCTGAAAGATAAGAAGGCCCAAGACCATTAAGACATTTAAAGACAATTAAAAGAACCTTAAAATCGATCCTGAAACACACGGGGAGCCAATGCAGCGATTTTAAAACCGGTGTAATGTGGTCCCGCCCCCTGGTCTTAGTCAGGACACGTGCGGCCGAGTTTTGAAGTAATTGTAAACCTGCAATGTTCTTTTTGGGAAGACCAGAGAGCAGGGCATTACTGTATAGTCAATGCGACTGGTGATAAAAGCATCAGCGTCTCTGTGTTGCCCCGAGAGAGAATGGGGCGGACTCTGGCGATGTTCTTTAAATGATAAAAACCTATTTTTGTGATGTTCTTAATGTGAGGAATAAAAGTCAGCTCAGAGTCAAAGATTACGCCCAGGTTTTTCACATGTGGTGATGGATTAAAAGAGTGTGATTGGAGTTTTGGTAAAAGTTTCTCTCTCTGGGCCTCAGGACCGATGACTAAAACCTCAGTTTTGTCCTGGTTAAGCTGGAGAAAGTTTTCTGCCATCCAGGATTTCAGGTCTAAAATGCAGTTAAAAAGAGCATCCATTGGCCTGGTGTCAACATAGTCATAACAGGATAATTCAATATACATGTCAATGACAGCAACGACAGCCTAAACTAAGCTTTCAGAGCTTTATCAGACCGTGTTGGTTTCTCCCAGAATGTTGAGGAACCCAATCACATTTATAACCCCAGCCTGGACATCCACAGCCATCAGACCACTTCTAAATCACTTATAATATCACTCTAAAAAACTTTCCTGCACCATCTTTTCCTGCATGAAAAGATACATAAATGAAAAGATAAATAAATGAAAACTCTATTCCAAATTTCAAAGACCTAATAAAGCCATTGTTAAACACCATACCAGGTGAGCCTGCACATCGTAGCGTCAGGTCCACGGTCATTGACCAGACTGTGGACAACACTATTGAGTCCATCAAATCTACATTGGAAAAAATTACAACTATCCACTGCAATCTAGAAAAACCACCTCCAACATTAGTGTTGAACAAGCTGAAGCGGTAAAGTTAATACCCCACAGTGACTTAAATTGCATTTAAGAGATGATTCCTTCAAAAACACTAGAGCCTATCTTAAATAGACAAGCTTTCAAACCCACAGTAATCAAACACATTCTCAATAAATCCAATCTCGACCCTGGACTGATGACAAATTACAGACCCATTTCAAATCTTTATTTTATTTCTAAAAACCCTGGAATGCTTTCAGCAAAACAACTATGCTGCCACCTAAATGACAAGACTTGAGAGCTCACTGAGACAGCACTAATTAAAGTCACACAATGACTACTGACCACAAGCTGCTGATAATGGACCATGGTCAGTATTGGTTCTGCTGGACCTCAGCGGCGCATTTCTTCAACATTCTACTGCAGATGATAATAATAATCATTATTATTGGTTTTATATAATGCTTTTCTGGACACTCAAAGACCCTTCACATATCATTATTCTTTCACTCCATACACAGTGGTGATAAACTACTATTGTTGCCACAGCTGCCCTGGGGCACATTGACAGAAGGGAGGCAACCAGTATGTGCCATCGGCCCCTCCGACCACCAGCAACCATTCACACACACACCAGACTCAATCTAGAGCTAGGCAATGGGGTGGTTTGCAAAAGGCAAATACATTCTTGAAAGTGTCTTGCCTAAGGATGACCCTAAACTACCTGTACCTAAAAACACAAGTAATCTCCCGCTAATAATAAAAAAGTGTGGCCCCTAGTGTAAGTACTTCTCTTTTAGGGCTCTATTAAATCATGCACCTAAAAAAGAATATTTCCAGAACAGCCAAAAGATGATTTCTTTATCTTTACCTTCAGTCCATACAGGGATACAAATAAAAGACAAATGAATTGATAGCTAGACTATAAAGGCCTATTGATGAATGATTACAATACTGTGGAAAATCCCAGGCAAAGCAACAACATATGTAATCCACGTTACTGTATCTTGTTTGTTACAATCATCGCCATTCTATCCCTTTTCAAGCTAAGCCAAAAAGCCCCTTTCCCATCTCATGTCTGTCCCTAATGCATCCATGTCAGCCACATGGGTGTCGCTGCAGTACGCATGCAAGGGGCTTCAGCAGCACTGAACACACACAGACCCCCAGACCCCCAGACCCACAGGCAGACAGCGCTTCATTACACTGGGACGCGCCAGAAATGGGTTAAATTCTGAGTGGTCGCCTGCAGCACCCAGAAGTGAACAGCAGGCGACCCGGAAGGCTTGGAGTCCGATCCAATCCAGCCGAAACGGGACTCCGCTCGTATCTTACAAAAATCTCTTTTCTTGGACTGGTTCAGGTAGGATTTGAGCTCAGAGCGTTACTGCTGTCACATTGTCAGCCATTGTCTCTTCCAATTCATGCATGCTTCTATTTGTGCGCATTTAAGTCGTGCAAAAGTGTAAAGGATGTGCTTGTCGTGGTAAAGATTTCCATGTACGCGATTCACGCAGAGTATATGGATGTGCAGTGCCTCGGATGCTGCGACGATAGCTGTAGGAAGTGTCTGCTTTTTTCTGTGCTTGAGACCGGGCTATTCAAACCTGCATCAAAGTAAACAATCGCACGTATACAGGCAGCGAGCATCGCGCATATGGACCAACACAGGTCAGTGCAGCCGCGGTCATACACTTGGAGGGAATTATCATGTGCTAAAATTGGGCTCTGCAAAAAAATGGCGTCCAGAGCTTATAGAAATAAGACCAGGCTGCCATTTTTGTTTTCCTTTTGTCTGAATTTTTTAATAAACTGTCTGGGTTTGTGGGAGAGGCGGCGCGCACTGTTCCATGGAGCAGCTGCAGAGAGAAGCCCGAGCCGCGCAGGTTAAGATGAGGAAGATGAATCATTGGGACAAGTTTAAAAATAACTTGTGAGGAATTGTATCATGTTCTACCTCTAAAAGAGGCTGCTCTTTACAGCACACATTCTTGCATACTTAGGTCGAGCCCAGTATTAAACTTATTCTAGCTTGTATCATAGAATCATGAGAACAATCAGCCCCCAAGAGTTTATCAGACATCACTATCACAGACACTTTCAAAAAGACACTTCAGGCATAACACCAAGAATACCATCTAGAAACTACAAGCAAAAATGATTTCACCTTCATATCAGGATTACAGCTAAACGTTTAAGGGTTTCGAAAAAGGACAGTACCAGAAAATGCTCTTCACTTTCTGCTTCAATTCATACAGAGTTCTCTTGTTTGTGAGAGAACCTCCAGTTTCTGTAAGATACAATCCATCTTAAATGGAATATATATATATTACATAATGGGACTAGTTTAGTAGGTTGTAATTGAGAGTTGAGTAAGTAATCTATATTTATGTAGTGTTAACAAGAGTCACTTTACCTTTATGTGGATTATTCATTATCTCCCATGATGGTAAGCTACTTTTGGAGCCAGGGCTGCCCTGAGGCAGAACAATAGAAACAGAGCGGCACTAGTGGTGTCACCGGACCTTCCGACCACTCATAGAGCAGATTCACACTGTGGTGATAAAGTGCCTTAACATAGGACAAGTGTTTGCACTAGAGCCATAGCCTGAGAGACCTCAGCCTCCTGAGGTCTCTCATCCAGGTAATAACCAGGCTAGCACTGCTTAGTCCAGGTCTTTCCCAAAACCTCTCCTCCTGAAGAAGCAGACGAGTTTGAAACCCACAATTTCACAAATTGACAAAGCCGCCATAGAGTTAAGCCATGTTAAACAGTAAACAAAGGTAGTATGCTGCTGGGTCATTACTGATGAATAAATGTATCACAATTTGTCAGATCTGTTTTGAATGAACCAAATATGTATGGTTACAGATCAAATTTCACTGTGGAGTTCTTCAAATGTGAGGTTACAAATGCAAAGACGTCGATATACAGAAGAATGCAAATGAATTAGATGATTTAGGTGTAAAAGATTGTATATTTTTGTCTTTATCCATAGCACCCATTCCTGATTCCATCCACGTTTTCTCTTCAGGCTAAAGGCTGCTGCTTAAGAGAACTTCTGTGCGGGATTTTTACTGAGGGCCTGTACCCCAGGAGGTATCACTTTTTGTTTCTTTTGGCTCTCACGCGTGGACTGTGCTATGGCTCTGCTAAACCAAACAGTCTCTGGAATGATGAAGTGTGCCAAAGAACGCAATCACAAAAAAATCTCAAAAATACATTTAAGAGAAGCGAAGGAAAGGGGGTGGGAGTTAGTACCTGGGTTTTGTTTTTGAAATGAAGAAACCACAAATAGACCAAGATAGTTATATGTCCTCACTCCAATATCAACACAGCAACTGGTCGTCACAATAGTAGTAGTAGTAGTAGTAATAATAGTAGTAGTAGTAGTAGTAGTTTATTTACTTACTACTGTACTTAATATTGAGACAACTTTATATTTTGAGTGAAAAGATGTCTGTACTTTCTACTCCTTATATTCTTTGACGTATAAGGGCAACATCTATATACTTTGATGGCAACAACAGCAGAAAGAGTGCCCAATCCAAATGCGTGCGTTGTGGTTAACTATGCTTCTAAGTGCATTCATTTGTTGTGGTTAGCCATACCTCTATGATCAGATAACTGCTTTGTCTGTGGAATAACATTGTCCGTAAAAAATGCATGTTAGTTATTACTTAATGACACATTTAAAAAAGAAACTTAGACTCCTTTACATTAAAAGTAGTAAAAAAAAAATATCCATACTTTTACTTAATATTCATGTAACAATTGTTAGGTCTGTAACAATCAATTATTTTGATTATAAATTCATCTAGAAATTATTGTTTTGATTAATTGGTTTATTGTTATAGAATACTGGTTATGAATTAGTTGTTGATTATATTGGAAATAAATACTTGTTTAGTTGTGAAATGGTTACAGCTCTAATATCTCTGGATCAGAACTCTGGTGTCTGTGATGCATTCTTCTGCTCCTCTAACAGACCAAGACCTATTAGATTTGGTATTGATTGATTGATTGACTAATTGTAATGTATTTTCTTTTCTTCTTTAGGATGGCTGAACCTCGCTTTAACAGTCCATACTTCTGGCCTCCACCTCCTGCAGTTCATGGACAGGTGAGATGTTCTGTCTATACTGTATATATGTATTATGTATTTACTTTATTGTCTAATTACAAAGACTAGGATGCCGTACAGCATCAACAATCTATTATTTTAACTATGAATATGCCCTGTGTCTGTTTTTGTGGCTTTATATGAAGAATTCTGAAGCAAATGATTTGTTTGTGACGTACTGTTACTTACAATGGCAATACAATAATTCTGGATTGTAATTCAAGGTTGCAGCTTTTACCAAATTGAAGTCACACCAGTTGAAGAAACTTTGAATTGTGTATAATGTACAAGATCACTGTTCGTCATGTGTGCATGTTTTCTTTGTCATGTTGATATGTTTGTCTTTCGTCTAACCTCTGGCTCACACTAATGCCACATCGGCGTGATATGGTGCAGTGTTGTGGCCACAGTCTTTCTGTACAATGAAAAGTGTCGGCCACGTTGCGGAGCTCCAGATCATTTCCGTAAGAAGCTATTTTTGGCCGCAGCCCTCCACAAGCCTTTCCATGATTGATTGATTGATTATCGTGACATCACAGGCTCTCAGAGACAGAACCTTAAAGGACTAAAGCCACCAGAGTCCTCAGAACCACAGAAGCTGGTATAAGTCCCAGACTGGACTAAGACAAAGAGTGCAACGTGAGCCAGGGGTCAGGCTAAGCCATACATTATCTTTCCATTGAACATATGGTCTGGAGTCTATACATTACTATGCATGGACCATTATAACTAATATTTTATACTTATTACATCTATACTTGTCATGATTAGACCATTTCTCCAGAGGAACTACAGTAAGCTTTAGTTTGATGATGTGGTTGTAGTGTCTTGTATATAGCAACAGAGGGCGCCAACACTACATATGTTCTGTATGTAATTTACAAACCCTTGAGTTAGAACTCAATCATGACTATTTATGATTTGCACACTGAACATACAGCACATTTCATAAACAAGCCAGTTTCTAAAAAACATGACAAAAATAACCAACTAGTTTGGTTCTTTGTACAAGTTTAAATTCCCCACTGTGCGACATATAAAGGATCTCTTAATATTTATCAATATGGCACAGGTCATTTTCAAGGCAGTGCTCTAAAATAATAATTATTCACAGTACATTAAACAGGGTGATGATAAATCCCTCGGTTGAATGCACAGCTAAACAGAACTCAACCTGGATTTGAACATGCCAGAGTAGAAGCCTGTGTCACATTTTCAGGAAGACTGTTCCAGACATTACATGCCTAAAGTTGCCTCCTCATCTTTAGTCCTGACTACGGGCCTCCTGCTGCTTTAAAACAATAAAACAAATCAAATCAAATAAGACCTATACCAACACATGTTTGGGGGTCGCACATTGTAGACCTCCACAGAATGAGCTCACACCTGTTATTATCTGATGGAAACAAAGCCATGTTATCACGATGTAATGGCCTCATTCTTGTCAAAACACTGTTCAAACACTGTTCTCTTGTGTCAGCTGGATAACCTAGTCTTGATTAATAAAATCAAGGAGCAGCTGATGGCAGAGAAGTCTCGTCCTGCTCACCTGCCTCCCACCTCTGAAGCGTCGCAGAGCCCTCTCCTGACTCCGCCCCCTCCGGTCGATGCCACGTCCAAGAGCCAGACGCTGCCCCCCGGACTATCAGGCCTCGCCCCAAACCAGCCCGACACCGCCTTGCACGCCCGGCCCAGCTCTGTCACAGGTGGGTCTGCTACAGCTCCTGAGGCGTGACCGCTTCACTAGGCCAAGCCAAAAATATTCCAGGTAAAGCACCTGGTCATTTTGAATATTTTTTGCATTGCAAGGATATAAAACACATAACTGAAAATACCTAACATTTTAAAAACACCTTTCCGAGAGACACTGGTTCAATAAATGTCCCTTATTATTGAAATGGTTGATATTATTGTTATTGACGTTTTTTATTTTATTATATTGGTGTTTTCAGCCTGTGTAATAGTGTCATTGATGTGGCCTGTGCCGTTTTGAACCACTATCTTTGTTAGAACAGTCTCTTTTCCTGCATTAACTATAGGCTGTATAATAGACCAGTTTGTCCCTCAGTTCCTGAGTACGTCTCACCTTTCACGTTGATAAATAGAACCACAAAACGAATTTCCTTTAGCAAATATTTGACTTGCCATTTGCAGTCACTGTTCGGTCAGAAAATAAGACAATACATTGCTTACAGAAAGATGAGGACAAGATCTTTGATGAATAAACAATCATTACTTACTTAAAACATGTTCATTTTATTTATTTATTTTATCACATAGATAATATTTTTGTTCTGTTGTTTGTGTGGAGATTATTATTATGTTTTATTTGTAAAGTATTGAAAATGATGCACTACCTTTAGTGTTAAAACAAGACTGTGGTAATTTTCAACACATATTTGTCTTAATTAGGTGTCAGGAATGAACCAGACAGAGGCGGATCGTTGTGCGCCAAGCTCTGGAAGTTTATTTAAGTTTCTCTCAAGTTCCAGTGGTTTCTGATGTTTCTTTCTCTCAGACAGAATGAAGGCAGTACACAGTTTATATAGTCATTGTTACGTCACACATGGAAAGACATACGTGTCACACAGAGACAGTGCACATCATAGTCGTAACATAGATACACAATCAGAGTCCTTGTGTAGTCTTGCAGTTGTCCTGAACATAGGCCAAATAGCTATCTAATCCTCACATAGGTCTAATTACAAATTTAGAAAGTCCATTATTACTATATCATTAGCCACCATCATCAATAATCGTAACTTACAGTAACAATAGTTTTTTTTTTAAAGTTAAATACCAGATCCTCTTATAAAATTAAATCAAATTAATATAAAAAGTAGTGATGGGTAAATGAAACCTCACGTATCGTTTCGGCACATCCAACAAACTGTTGATACTGTGCCGCAACAGTGTTGCTTGTGCTGCTCTATACTGACGCCTGGTGGATCTGATAAATCATTGCATCCAACTCACTGATTCAATGAGCTTTACATACTTGTCTGCACACAATATTACGTAACTGCATTGTCTGTGTTATTTTATTTTATGTGAAAATTAAAGTGATAGTTGTGAATGTATTCATTAAGCAAAGTGTCATTTTTTTTCAAAACAATAAGCATGTCCAAAGTGCACTGTAAACCCTGGCAACTAAAGTATACTTGAAAAAACCTTTGACATTTTCTGCACTTCAATTTCTCAAAATTATTCTTCAAGACTGTGATGTCAACATAAACTTTTGAGGTCCGACAGGGATTCGTACCCAGTTCTCTCAAACGCGAGGCGAGAGCGCTATCCACTCATCCACCATGCCTAACTAGATTTTGCGTTTCAAACTAAAGCTGGATTGTAGATAAAGCGTGAAATGCAAAATACAAACATTGCCTTATTTGCTGTTATTTGCAGTATCACACTGCAGAATACTTTCTTTTAGTGGCAGGTTCCATTTTTTATGCTGTAAAATGGGATGCTTTTCCTTTTTGAAAGGGTTATTTTCTTTTTCTGAGAGCGGTTCATACCGGTGACACTTGCAGATGCGGAACCTTTTAAACACAGTTTGCCGTGTCGGTGACAAGCGACACTGCGGCTGTATTGGTCACGTGGCTTTTTCATAAAGCGACACTCGCGCCGATACGAGGTTTCGCTAAACGAACTCGGCACATGCGCCGGTGTATCAGTGTTGCTGGACCCATCACTAATAAAAAGTGTAGATTTTGAGATATCCAGGCACATTATAGTAAATGTTGAAACAAAATACAGTTGTCATTTCCTCTGCTTTCACTTATTTTGCAATATTTTTTCCAGGCCGAATTCTTGGAGATGTGAATTTAAACCTGGATGATAAATCGGCCATCAAAGCCAGAGGATTATGGGAGGACTGGCATTTGAGACAACTCATCGACCACCCTTCAAGGACCAACCACGTCTCAGGTAACTGTTAAGAAAATTTTGTTTTATGTTATCATTTAAAAATGTGGCTGGAATACACAGACATTGGCTCCAAGAAGAGGTCTTATCACAGGTGGTCTGTATGCAGATGGGGCTGCTTTCTCTGTATTGTTCTGACATTGTTCTTTTGCTCTGTTCCTGTATGTTTGAAGCTCTGCCATTGTTGTTTGAAGATTCAAGAATATATTTGCCATTTGCAGTCAAACCACATTAGAAAAACTGTGCAAGACTACCCCAGTCTGCACCACTGTTCTGTTCTTGTTTCTGGTTTGTGGGTGTGTTTCTTTCTTTCAATATAAGTTTGTGAGTGTTGCAGGGGAAGCCAGAAGATGATGGTCCTCCTTGCAAGTAAATAGAATGGTGCTACTCTGGTCTGTTTGTGTGTCTTTGTCCAGATGAACTGTAGTGGAGCCAGGCTTTAACAGTAACTTTGAATTACTTACTCCATGGTGCTTTCAATATTCAACTAAGGTTTTCTCTCTGTGGTTTGCATAAAGTAGGTGTGGTGCCTGCTCTATTCAAATGTTGTAAATCCTCACCCACTAACTTTTCTGCATCGCTCTTGATTTATAAATCTTTTTGAAAGAATGATTGTTTGATAAAAAAACATTGGGAAATGTTTTTGGACCTTTTTCAGAAAGGCAAAACTGGATATTACAAGCTGTTAGTTGTAGTCTAACTAAGAATGAACAGTATTCACGCTGGCAGACGACAATTTTTATTCCTTTGACTTTTTAAGATGTGAATAAAGATAAGGGGATTCAAATCTGGATCTAAAATTCAGGCCAAGAACATTAAGGCACGTTCACACATGTTGGTCTGGGTCAGTATAAAAAGGACCAAGTCTGGTTCACTTGGACCAACATTTCTTCACAGTTTCAAAAGATGAAAACTGTCTGAAGCATATTTTCCCCAAGTTAACCAGAATTGTTCTTAAATAGAACCAGAGCAAACAGATTCAAGATGAATTTATTATAAAATCGGACTCACAGGCTGCTTCATTGGAAATTCACAAGACACAATATAGTAAGACGGACACAGACTTTAAACCATCGCCATTCTGCTCGTTGGCTTTCATTAGGTTTACAGATAGCGAGGAAGGAGTTCTTAAACCAATGGAGGTTTCTTTTCTTATCTTTTGTTGGGACTTTGAAGCTGCGGCCAAATGGGAAAGTTCTTACTGGGAGTAAAGAACGTGTGAGGGGTCTGAAATGACTTTCTTTGCCTTTATACCCCTCAAACATATCTCCATGAAGTTTAAGCCAGATCCCGCCTGTGCTGTTGTGTTTTTTTTCTGGGACCCAGAGATCATTTGACTTAGGGAGATGGGGGCTGGAAGTCGGTTCATCATCGTATCGTGCCTGGTTCCCATAGTAAAAAACAAGATATAATTTCTTTGAGGTTTACAGATTTTCATTTATTATGTTGGCTGTTTCTGCATGCATGAATTGCTCTAGAATAGACGTTCATGTCACAGTGACAGGTGCCTGTTTGATGTGTGTGTGCTAAAAATTGTCTCCAGTCCACAGATTTTGTCTCCACTTGTCTTCACCTGGTAATTACCCCCTGTGCTTCCATTAGGTGTGGCTCTAGCGTCTCGAACAGGCAACCTCAACACCTCTGACATTATCAGCCCGACCACACCATCCTCCGGTGCACACAGTCGCCTGGGGGGTGCTCCCGGGGCCCACCTGATCCCTGGACTTGCCCCTGCTCACTGCATGGAGCCTGGGAAGAACCCCGGAGGCCTGGTGGGACTGCTGGGCCCCCCTCCCAAAGTGGACAGGGGTCACAAGAGGATCAAAGCGGAAAATGGTTCCTCTGTCTTTGTGGTGCCCTACCCCATATTGGCTCCAGGCCATGAGCAGTCCTGCGTCACCATCACAGCCAAAGAAGGAAGAACGTACAGGTGGGAGACTCAGGGTTTGGGGCTTATGAATACAATAGAGAAGTGTTTGAATCATGTTTTTTTTTTTCACCATGAGAGCGAAGCCACATGGTTTATCTATGACTACACAAAATACACAAAAAAGCGCCGTAATTATAATTCCAACCCAAACACTTGTAGGACAGTGTGGCAGTCTGGCATCAAAAGACTATCCCTGTGTTAATCTATTATGCTTTGGCTTTTTGTAGAACTTTTTGCACACACAAACTGAAAGATTTTAAAAAGATGCTTCCTCACTGATGTTGTCATCTCTATAAGTTCCTGCTATACTTCCTGTTAAACCATGTTATATACCCTCATAGGATGCACTAAAGTAGATCCACGGAGATCCCTCAGTGATGCATCTTGTAGGCATGTTTCAACCTGCAGACTTTTCTCTGTACAAAAGCTGGGTGTGTCCTGGTTCCTAGTGGCTATTGGGCATTTAGGCACAAGTTCAACAATCATTAGTTTAGTAGTAGTAGTAAGTAATCTTTATTTATATACCGCCTTTTCACTGCAGATCTGAGTCTCAAAGCGGTTTACAATTGTTAATTTTGGGAAATTGTCTGGTTAGTTTAGATAACCAGACAACCTTAGTGACTAATCTTAAAGACCTTATGCCGGGTTTAAAAAAAAAAAAATTGTGGATATCAAAATTGCATGACAATGTCAATCTGAAATAGATTCTGGCAAAAAAATTCCTATATTTTATAAAAAGAACGTGTTTTTCATGAATTTAAGTTGTCTATGCTCTAACCTGTGTGTGACGTCACAGCGGGTAACGCCCGTGCATTGAAAACCATGGATCTATGCCACAGGACTGCCTTTTCTCTCTTCTCACCACTGATGCCCAACACAATACTGCACTCTACAGGTGACAATTGCTCACTACACATACATTGCCCTTTTGAGAGTGAAAAGGTGTCTGAGGTGGGATTTGAACCCCACTTTCTGGATTGGCGGTCCATCGACACAACCACTGGACTATCTCAGTGCTGACAAAGTGTTATAATGTACTAGTAATATCATACTCGCTGTACACGGCCTTGTCATCTTGAATATCCGCGAAAAAAGAACGAATACCAAATTGTAAACAACTTACAGCGTTGAAACGTACCCACTCTGACGTCACCAAGGGCTGTGAAGTTTTTTCGTCTCTAAGGGCGTTGCTATGGGGTTATTTCGATTTGGGGGGATCAGACAAAAAAAACAACAACTGATTTTGAAACCTTTAGTAGTTCTCTTCTAATATAAAATGGTATTAAAACTGTATTTCTAAATAAATCAAACCCGGCATAAGGTCTTTAAGCCATCACTGCTACTTCCGCTATTGATAACGATTCGTATACAGCTTCAGAAAGCCACATTTAATGTCATAAGAAGCAGAAGTTATTGCAAGATGTTCTGTTTGTTAAGGTATAGAAGCCACATGCTTGAAGAAATAACCTCTTTCTATGGTGTTACACACACAGGGGAGTCCATTTTAGTAAGAGGGGGTGACGACATGGATTAGAAAACTGTTCTTACTGATATTGGGCTGTTCTGGCCCTAAAAATGGTCAATGGTCTGTTCTTTATGATTCACACCAAAGTGCATTAGTGCTAAATATGGAATTTTGTAACACAATCCAAATTACATGTGAACATATAAAGTTCATGGCAGGTTTATCTGCTTTACTGCAAGGTATAGCATGACTATATTGGTGGATCTCAAGTTGGCTGAATGACACTGAACATTAATTTGTGTTAGCAAGGCAGAGGGCCACATAAAATGACCCAGTAGGCTGCATTCGGCTCATGGGCCTGAGTTTGGACATGTCTGGTGCCATCTTCATTAGCTACAGTCGTGTACATATTTTCAAACATTGTTGGTCATTTGTTATTTCTAAACCTTGACATGTTTTGACAGTGAACTTCTGCCTTTCTCAGAACCGTCTTGCGACATCACACTTCTCATCTTGTCTTTCTATTGTGGTACTCTTGCGTCAAAATGACTCACCACAGAAGATTATACCTTAAAGTAGGGTCGAAAAGGGTCTAATTGCTCGAGGGCTGGTTAAAGCTGCACTAACTGACTTTATTTTTGTATTCATTACGAAAATGCTATCCATGTCCATGTAGTGCATTGGGATACACGTCCTTTTGAAGAAAAAGTAGCGCAGAGTTGCTATCGTGACATTATATTTTAGATCGAGTTTTGATGAAACAAGGAAGAGATGTGTTTCGGGTCGCAGATTGTGACCAATCACAGCAGACCACTGGCCCCCACTTTTGTGAGAAATCTACAGGTCCGTTAGCACAGACAGCTGAGTTAGCACAACAAGCGGCGGATCTAACCTGAAGCTTCCTTGTCTTCGTCACCGGTTACTGCTTACACAGCGAAACAGCCATCCAAAAGAAAGTCCCGTTCCCCCGCGCTTCCCGGTTCTATCGTTCTATGGTCACGCCATCCACGTGCAAATCCATATGCATGTATTATCCATATGAGACGCTAGCTCCGTCCCAACAGTGGGTGTGTGTGGGGGGCGATAGCTTCGTGGGTGCGGAGAGGGGAGAAGAAAGAGAGAAGCCAGCGGGTCCGCGCCTTTAAAATCCCAAAGTCTGTTAGTGCAGCTTTAAGTTAGGAAAAATCATCATAATTCCTCTAATTCAAAAGATTTTTGGGGGGTATTTTTAATTATTCAATCTGACCCAAGAATAGCACAAGGGTTGAAAGACTAGTTGAACCTTCCCTAACTATCTTGTCACAGAAAATTAGACCTGGTTGTGTTCAATATAATTGTCTCGTTTTGCTTACATCAGTGATACTAGTGAATTTATTGTTTGTTGTGGCCATCAATCGCTTTCAAGATATTATATTGTTGTTACTGTACGTCAAATTTATATTACTATAATTTGTTGTTGTAATTTAATCCACTTTCCGTCATACAACAAATACAAACGTTTAATGAAATCCTCACTTAAAAGTAAGTGAACTGAGTTTGCATGTTCGTCCCATATCAATTGGGTTCTTCAGGCAGTTCTAGTTTCCTCTAAAACAACATTTTATCCAGGAATATATACAAAATGATAAAAGTAGGACAAGACTCCATGCTTGGCTGTTTGATTATGACGATTATACTGTTTAGATAGCTTGTAGTTGAAATCATAATTATGATTAAACTACCCCTGATTCCTTTACATTGGTACATTAGCGTTTACTTTTTGTTACTCTCCACAGTTTTTTTTGTCTTATAATTCTCTTTTGTGCTCTGGTTTGTGGTTTCAGGTGCAAAGTGTGTCCCATGACCTACATCTCAAAGTCAGATATGCAGTTGCACTCAAAGACCCACACTGAAGCCAAACCACATAAGTGTCCGCACTGCTCCAAAACCTTCGCCAACGCCTCGTACCTGGCCCAGCACCTGCGGATCCACCTGGGCGTCAAACCGTACCGCTGCTCCTACTGCGAGAAGTGTTTTCGCCAGCTCTCACACTTGCAGCAACACACCAGGTCTGAACAAACACAGGAAACAAAAGCCCCTTGAGGATTCAGGCTGTACGTAGGTCTGTCTCAGTAAAAAGTCTATTGATTTTTTTATTTTGCTCAATAATTAATGAACAAGCAATTTTGGTTTTCCCCCCAAAAAAAATCTGCAATTATACTATTATGCTATTTTCTCTCCAGAAACAATTTGTATACACTCCATCAACATTTTTATTATCACTTGACCCTATCTCCCAATGTGATTACAGCCAAAAAGATTTATTTAAAATATTTAATTTCACATGTTTCTAGTCTGTTTTTAGCCTAATTGTAGATTGTTGTTTATTGCAATTTCAGGATCCACACAGGAGACCGGCCGTACAAATGCATACATCCAGGCTGCGGCAAAGCGTTCACGCAGCTGTCTAATCTCCAGGTGAAAAACACTTACTCTCCCAGAAGTAATACATGTGTCTCATTTTAGACCCACACAATGAAGAACATCATTGTAAATACAGAAGGAGACTGGATGTCTAATGATGGAGAGCTTTTCTAAGAGACACAGAGCTCTACCTGGTATTTGTTCTTTCAGTCCAGACTATGCCTTCCTTGTAGCAAATCCTATAAGCGGCTGTGATGAGGTTGGTCTGATAACAAGAACAGAGCTTCCTGTGTTTTATGGTCAATACAAGTCTCCTTTGATATCAATCTCATGCTTTTTATTGAACTTTCAGTATTTCTATATCATTAGTTATTCTATTTTAAGCTAAATTACAATACAAATTGTGTTTTGCAGATTGTTGTTTAGCCAACAGTTCAAATGTGGCGTTCTGTTTTCAGTCGCATCAGAGACAGCACAACAAAGACAAGCCCTTCAAATGTGCCAACTGTTACCGTGCCTACTCGGACTCCGCCTCTCTGCAGATCCATCTGTCTGCCCATGCCATCAAGAACGCCAAAGCCTACTGCTGCAGCATGTGTGGCCGAGCGTACACCTCAGTAAGACACGCAATATCCACACAATCACTCAATATGTGCGTTCTTTTTGAACAAGAATGTCACTATACCAGAAACCTATTAACAATACACAAATTCAGATTAACAGTTTTTAGTCAAGTCTTGACTCTCTGCTGCGCATTAGTGACTTATGCCATTTATGTGACCTCGGAAACATACGTATTACGACAAAGATTATGAGCTAATCATCCCATCACTTCCCAAAATCAAAGCTTGTATAAAACATCAGCTTCACTGTTGAGCTTCATTCAAAATATACTGTTTTTACAACAATTTTGAACATATAAATTAATGAATAATTTTCAAACGGTAGCCCTGGTATTTAAGCTTGGGACCAAATGGCATGTCGACCGGGAACAAACGAAGTAAAGCAAACAGTATTTCAGGAGTGGACTAACTGAGTGCTGACATCACACATGGTTTTTCCCAAATGTGGAAGAAGCCGAACATAGTTATATATTAGAATATTGTTCAAAAGTTTACATTTCAATTTATACTTCAATTCAACTTGAAAACCAATATACAGTATGACATGGACTTGTCACATATGTTAAGGCTTGTGTGAAAGGTAAGGGGGTTTTTTTGGCTAAAAAATAGTTAAAGAGGCGTAACCAAGAGGTTGTAACATAACACCTCACACAGAGAGTCAACAATAGTGAAAGGACAACATGTTGAAACAGGAACCAAAGATGTTTGCGTGCCCTCAGTTTTGGAGTGGAGAGATAATAAAGAAGCTGAAAGACCGGCCACAGCTCTAACCCGTCCAGAGCCAGCCAATCACACAGCTCTGCCAGCGTCTTGAGCCTCCACCAAGCCTCGAGTCTCTGCCAATGACACAGCGAAAGGGTCAATTTCCAGCTCGATTTGACAATGAGGAGCACTGTGTGGAAGGAATATGTGAAATGGCATTGATCTTTGGCTTAAATTGGTTTTAAATGTGAAAATCCATCTACGTTTTGCTACACGTTTTCCTCCAATTCCAATCTGACCCCTGTCACAGTGATGCAACCTCTGAACTCAACACTACTGCGTGAGTTTTCGAGGTGAAACTCCGACCCAAGCAGCGTTCATAGTTGGACCCTTCGAGTCTCTGATCTCTCATGACTACAGCAGTTTATCTCCATATATCGTATGTCGTCAGATGGCCAACTCAGTAACGTTTAACCACGCCCTCGTCTCAGGAAAACAAAAATCTATGGTTTTTGCATCATTTATCAAAATAGGCCAAGTGAAAAAGGGGCGACTGAGGGTGGTGGGCTGGTTAAATTTTACTCTAATGTCCTACAAGACAAATGGGGATTCTGTTTCTGTCAACGTACATTAGATCAAGATAAATGTGTGATGATGAACAATAAAGGAAAAGTGAAGTATTACTTACGGTATGATGTTTCTCTTTATATTCACTTCCTGCTTTTTCTCTTCTTGTTGCAGGAGACATATCTTATGAAGCACATGACGAAGCATACGATGGTGGAGCACTTAGTTTCTCATCATCACTCTCCCATTCACCGGACCGAGTCTCCCTCCATTCCCATTCGCATCGCACTGATCTGAGCCACCAGGGCATTAGGGCTGCACAATGAACATAAACAAACAAAAAAAACATACAGATTTTTCTTCTGAAACATGAAACATAACCCAAACCCAATATCAAAGTCATTTGCATTTCCCTATCATAAAAATACAGTTCCAGATTTTCACACAGCAGAAGGAAGTGGGTATTCAAATTGTCTGAATCACTCAAGACATTGGGTACATTGTTTTTATCCAAATGCATTTCAAGGAACTTGAATTGGAATGCTTTTATTTATTTTAGTTTGTGCAGTCCTTGGTTTGACTGGCTCTATTAATTAATTAAGGGTGCTCTTTGAATTGTTTTATGCATTTGCATTTGCTGATATATGGTACAAGCACGAGTCAAATACTGTGGAAAAAGCATATTTTAGTAGTTTAATCAAAATGTCAGAAGCAAATTCAGTTAAAAATGATTTTTAATGTACCATCAGAAGTCATTGAGGAGTGGATCAGGAAGAACTTTCAGCAGAAAACCTGCCATTTCTGTATGATGATGAGCTACTGGGAGAAAAAAGGATTTCCATAATATTTAATACCTATTCACTTTAACATCCAAAGATAATTTGCAGCACTTTCTAGCCACAAAATCAGGCTTTAAACATTTTTAATGTACATTTGAAACAATAAAATACAATATGCCCAAGGCAGCTAGAATACTATACTAACATTTTGTGTCATGATAACTCTTTTATACTACTTGTTATTAGTTATTAAATATATTATATTTGTATAAAAAAGGAACAGCTGCATATGCAGCCTGGGGGAAGAGAATGTACTGTTATGGTGTACAGAGTATTGTACTATGAGTACTGTGTGTATTGGACACATTTCTTTTCTTATCATTGCACATTTTACTCTTTCATGTCTGAGGAACAGGATGAGGACTATGATGATAACCTGAACTTCTGTTTCTGAAGTCAGAGATGTCGATCCGATGCAGTGCACTAATTAAAATGCCTTTATAGTTTTACAAAATTATAATCATTAGTTATTCTCTTGCACTTATGGAAAGTGTTTCCTTTTTATTCCATTACGTCAGTGTTTCAATAGCTGATAAGTGTTTCCTGCACAATAAAGATGTCCAAATAATGTGCAAATACGTCTGGATAATGACGCTGAATGTAAGTATCACGGTGATATTAGGTTTCACTTTATTCCAGCGCAAACAAACAAAAACTTTCCAACACATAAGAATCATTGTGTTAAATTGTTTCTTGCAATGTGACGGTAAGCTGTTTTTCTGTTCCTGTTTAGAGATTTTGAGTTGTCTGACTGTTTTTAATGTTATTTTGGCAACACCCTGTATTATATTTCTTACATTTTCTATCATTCTAATTTCACTGTGTTAGTCTTTTATGACATTGCATGCTATACTGTAAATACATCATATCTGTTATTGTTTTATAATAAATATTTATATACAGATTTTGTCACTATGTTACGCATTGCACATGGGTGCAATTATGCATAATACATGAACAGTATTGCCATTCCATTCGCAAAAACAGTACACTAGTTCAAATAAAATTTAGCTGAATGTGCTACATTATCAACATTATTATATACACATTATTTTCTCACGGACGTGAGACGAGGAGACGCACAGACATGTTGCTCCAGCCAGCTCCTGTAGAAGTCTGTATATATATATATATATATATATATATATATATATATAATACATATATATCTATATATATATGTATATATACATACACATATATATATCTATATATATACATATTTTGTTACGTTTGTTAATTTACTTGGCACCTAAATACGTCACAGTTTAACAAACAGTCTTGTCTGAATTCTTTATTCAAAGGGGCTCAGTTCAGTCATGCATCTTTGTTTTGATATTTGTGTGCATTGATTTGTGTCTTGCGTACTTCCAAAGTGCATTTAAATAATTCCAAAATTATTTTATGGGTAATGCACTTGTTACCAAATAGCATGAACAAAAGCCATTGGACATGTGGAAATATAGTCGAGGGCCAAAGAACATTACAGCAACATTAGGAAAGGAAATGATACTCCCTCAACACTCTAAAACCACAATTATCTTTCATTTCTTCTACTCGCTCAAATGAATCCACTCCTGTACCGCAAATGTCCTCTTCTCGTCTATAGTAATAAATAAGCCATGTTTATGGTTTTGCCAATTATTGACCCAAAAAAGGGGGGATTCAGATGTCACAGAAATTAGCTACCTGCTGATCCTCCTGCTGCTGCTCCTGCTGCTGCTCCTGCTGCTGCTCCTGCTGCTCCTCTCCTTAGCTTGAAGTCCACTCCCACTCTTCTGTCTCCACTCAGCACTCGGACTAGCCCACTGCTTGGATCGAGTTTTGTGTTTTCCTCCACGACACTGCTCGCTTTTCCTCGGTATATTCTTGGTAAGTAACCACGTGCTCTTGCCAAATTAGCTAACTTATTTTTACACATGTTGTTGATGTGTCACGCGTACGAAGTAGCTCCTCGCGCCGAACCCCATGCGTCTTCAAAACTAGCATACTTTTAAGCAAACTTCTATTAAAATGCGATTGTTTCTTGCAAACCTTTACGTTAGCCACATTCTTTCGGCATTTCGTACAGGTTTCCATAGCCACGAAAGCCTTTTATGAGCGCGGATAAACTTGTCTCATCATGGAAAAGCGACGAAAAGCGCGAATGATGTGACCCCCGCTCCTGGATTAAATAATGGGTTAAAATTGACCGAGGTGAAGTTAGCCGAACGTTTGATATTCGCCTGATATTCGAACAAAATCCCCCTGGATTCAAAGTCTGTCCGTATTTTCAGTTTAGTGAAGAGTGTAGTATTAAATACTGTTCACAATGTTGCCACCTGTCAGGTGCAGCTGACGATTTATAACACGAAAAACAATGAAGATGAAGTCTCCGCTCGGACGTGTGATAAGCTCTCAGCAAGGGACCGTCTGCAAAGTGCAAGATTTGACAGAACGTTGCAGATGGGTTGGTGAATACAATAAAAACTGCTTTTAAAAAGTAGTTTTTCCCAGTTTTGATGGGTGTAGTAGCTCCCAATGAACAATAGCTAGCTACTACAGGCAAGAATTTGGGAAAAATATGGTTTTCCCCTTCACAGTAACAAAAATAGTAGAAGCTGATACACTGTGTGCTTATCTGTCAGATAAACTTGACAACACAACAGTACAGTGTAGAAAGATCAGCTCTGTTCAGAATCGCTACAGCTCGTTCCATGTCACCGCTGAGTGCAATGACGTTTCGTGCATGCATGCTCCAGAACTTTGGCCAGCTGGTACATATGTGCGTCGGTACTACGAAGCGCGCAGGGCTGGAGGAATGCATGTTGGTAGTGCCGGACCTGTAGCGGGTTCGGGAGCCGCAGGTGCGGGAGCCGCGGGAGCCGCAGGTGCGGGTATCTCCGAATAAACTGTATCATGCCCTTTACAATTGTGTCTTATAATGCGCGCGGGCTGCGCGTTGGACACAGTAAAGCAGACTCTGCACGTCGGGCTGTAGTGGACTCACTTCTGCAAACCTGTGATATCTTATGTATTCAAGAGACTTTCTTAGCCAAGCAGGATCTGGATAAACTTAACGCTGTGCATGTGGACTTCCATGGGGCAGGGGAATCCACTACAGATCTGAACACTAAGCTACTTAAAGGCAGAATCTCAGGCGGAGTTGCTGTACTTTGGCACAAGAAATATGATTCTGAGGTTACTGTGCTCAGGTTGGGAGTTGACTGGGCCATTGGGCTTCAGGTTCAGTGTAGTCGTGGGAAGTTTCTCATTCTGAATATATATACTCCTTATGAGTGTGCTAATAATGAGGATGAATATCTAAATTGTCTGGCTGGGATTATGGCATTTATTCAAGACCTTAACTGCACCTGTATATTTGTAGTTGGGGACATGAATGCTGATGTTTTGGATGAGAAATCTCTATTTGCCAATCATTTAAAGCAATTTTGTGTTGAGAACCGCCTAGTTCTTTCCAGTATGGCTCTTCTCCCAAGCGATAGCTTCTCATATGTTAGTGACGCCTGGCACTCAACATCCTGGCTTGACCATTGTATATGCACCAGTGATGCTCATGCAGTTATTGATAGCATGCAGATCAGATATGATTTGGCTACATCTGACCACATGCCACTTGTTATTAAATGTAACCTGGGTAGTGTTCCCTTGATTACTTCTTTAGGGCCGTCTGTATATTGCGAGAGAGTGGACTGGTCTAAGCTTACTTGTGAGGACATCTGTGCATATACTCGGAGAACACATGTTAATCTTGGACATATTGATCTGCCGAGGGATGCTATTTTATGCCGTGATATGAACTGTACAAATCATGAACATTCTACCCAACTGGATTTGTTTTATTGTAAAATTCTGGAAGCCCTTATAAGTTCTGGGAAACCCTGTCAAAACAAGATACGCTCCCCCTGTGGAAAGCCCGGTTGGAATAGGCACGTAGGTGAGGCTCATGCTGAGGCCCGTGCTGCATTCAAAGCTTGGGTGGATGCAGGGAGATGCAGGAGTGGACCTCTGTTTGAAAACAAGAAATATGCAAATGCAAGATACAAATACAGTCTGAGGTACATAAAAAAGAATGAACAGCGTCTTAGGGCTGAATCTCTGGCATCTAAGCTCCAAGACAACACCTGCAGTGACTTTTGGAAGGAGATAAGAATGATGAGTAACAGCAACACCTCCCTCCCTTCGGTTGTGGATGGAGTGAGTGGCTCACAAAATATTTATCAATTATGGAAAGAATTTTACTTTGATCTCTTTAATTGTATTAAGGGAAAAGCTCCCATTGTAGGTTCTATTTTAAACAATGCAGGTTCAATAGTAACGCCACAAGAGGTTTTTAATGTTGTCCACAAACTCAAAAGTAAAAAGTCATGTGGCTCAGATAATATCACATCTGAACACCTCAAATTTGCAAGTAAGAATATGTACCCTCTGCTGGCCCTGTGTTTCACTGGATTCATGGTTCATGGTAGTCTGCCTGAATCTCTTCTGTCAGTTCTGCTGGTCCCTGTTATTAAAGACAAAGCAGGAAAACTGACTAGCTCAGCTAACTATCGTCCTATAGCTTTGGCTAGCATCGTTTCCAAAGTTCTTGAGACTGTGATTTTAAATAGACTTGAACCTTTTTTAAGTACAACTTTTAACCAGTTTGGTTTTAAATCTGGCCATGGTACAGACACTTGTATTTTTGTACTGAAGGAACTTTTAGATAAATATCATTGTCAGGGCTCTACAATGTTTGTGTGTTTTCTAGATGCCTCCAAGGCTTTTGACAGAATTGATCATGAGAAATTGTTTTCGAAACTGTCAAAGCGTGGAGTTCCTGGGTATCTGATCAGACTGCTTATTTTTTGGTATTCGGAGCAGACCATGCAGGTGAAATGGGGGGAGGCTCTTTCTGACTCCTTCAGAGTCTCTAATGGGGTTCGTCAGGGCGGGATTCTCTCTCCCATGTTGTTTAATGTGTACATGGATGACCTGTCGGTGCAACTGAACACCTGTACCACAGGATGCAGTGTTGGTTACAGCAGATATAATCACCTCATGTACGCAGACGATCTGGTGGTGTTCAGTCCCTGCAGTGCTGGTCTTCAGCAACTACTTAATGTGTGCTCTCAATATGGTTTGGATCATAATATCAAATATAACGCTGCAAAAAGCCTGGTAATGATTGCGCGTACTAAAGATGACAGTAAATTATGTTTTCCTGATTTTTTCCTTTCCGGAAACCTTTTGGAATCTGCAGATGAGGTGAAATACCTCGGTCACTACATCACCAGTGACCTTTCTGATGACAAGGACATGCACAGGCAGCTGTGTCAGTTATATGGCCAATCAAATATGCTGCTACGTAAGTTTAGTATGTGCTCTCCTGAGGTAAAGGTAACTCTTTTTAAATCTTACTGCTCACCTATGTACACTGCTTACCTTTGGAAGAGTTTTAAAAAGTCCAGTTTGCAGAAACTCACTGTGGCCTATAACAACTCCTTGAGGCTGCTGCTGAAGGTTCCTCGGCACAGCAGCGCAAGTGAGATGTTTGCTTACTGTGGTGTTCGATCTTGTTCTGCATCTCTTCGAAATGTTCAGTTCAGATTTCTGTGTCGTCTGAGGAACTCTATTAATGTGATTGTTAAGACTCTCGTCAGCCCCGAGTTCTGCTCACTGCTGTTCACCTCCAAATTATGGACTTACTGGAGGTTATGCCTTTATACTGTTCAGCAGCTGTAATGTTCTCTTTGGTTTGTTTTCTTGTATATATTTTTTCTTTGGTTTTTTAACTATGGACCGTGTTGAATTGTGTCCTTAATAAAGATTAATAATAATAATAATAATAATAAAAAATGAAATTGGAAAAATTCACTAAAAATCAACAAAGAATTTTTTCCCAGATTTGATGGGTGTAGTAGCTCCCAATGAACAATAGCTAGCTACTACAGGCAAGAATTTGGGAAAAATATGGTTTTCCCCTTCACAGTAACGAAAATGAAATTGGAAAAATTCATTAAAATCAACAAAGAATTTTTCCCCAGATTTGATGGGTGTAGTAGCTCCCATTCAATGATAGCTAGCTACTACAGGCAAGAATTTGGGAAAAATATGGTTTTCCCCTTCACAGTAACGAAAATGAAATTGGAAAAATTCACTAAAAATCAACAAAGATATTTTTCCCAGTTTTGATGGGTGTAGTAGCTCCATTTGAGCAATAGCTAGCTACTACAGGCAAGAATTTGGGAAAAATATTGTTTTCCCCTTCACAGTAACGAAAATGAAATTGGAAAAAATTACTAAAAATCAACAAAGACAGTTTTCCCCAGTTTTGATGGGTGTAGTAGCTCCCAATGAACAATAGCTAGCTACTACAGGCAAGAATTTGGGAAAAATATGGTTTTCCCCTTCACAGTAACAAAAATGAAATTGGAAAAATTCACTAAAAATCAACAAAGACTTTTTCCCCAGATTTGATGGGTGTAGTAGCTCCATTTGAGCAATAGCTAGCTACTACAGGCAAGAATTTGGGAAAAATATGGTTTTCCCCTTCACAGTAACGAAAATGAAATTGGAAAAAATTACTAAAAATCAACAAAGACAGTTTTCCCCAGTTTTGATGGGTGTAGTAGCTCCCAATGAACAATAGCTAGCTACTACAGGCAATAATTTGGGAAAAATATGGTTTTCCCCTTCACAGTAACGAAAATGAAATTGGAAAAATTCACTAAAAATCAACAAAGATATTTTTCAGGGTTTTGATGGTTGTAGTAGCTCCAATTGAACAGTAGCTAACACTTCAAACAAGGAAGATCTCTGGCTCTCACAGACCTGTAACTTCTTCTTTAAGAAGCTCTCTTTACCTGTAGTAATGGCACCTGTTATCTCGTACAGAACTCGTTATCTGTATAAAAGACACCTGTCCACAGCCTCAAACAGTCAGACTCCAAACTCCACTATGGCCAAGACCAAAGAGCTGTCGAAGGACACCAGGAAAAGAACTGTGAAGGGGAAAACAATATTTTTCCCAAATTCTTGCCTGTAGTAGCTAGCTATTGCTCAAATGGAGCTACTACACCCATCAAAACTGGGAAAAATATCTTTGTTGATTTTTAGTGAATTTTTCCAATTTCATTTTCGTTACTGTGAAGGGGAAAACCATATTTTTCCCAAATTCTTGCCTGTAGTAGCTAGCTATTGTTCATTGGGAGCTACTACACCCATCAAAACTGGGGAAAACTGTCTTTGTTGATTTTTAGTAATTTTTTCCAATTTCATTTTCGTTACTGTGAAGGGGAAAACCATATTTTTCCCAAATTCTTGCCTGTAGTAGCTAGCTATTGCTCAAATGGAGCTACTACACCCATCAAAACTGGGAAAAATATCTTTGTTGATTTTTAGTAATTTTTTCCAATTTCATTTTTGTTACTGTGAAGGGGAAAACAATATTTTTCCCAAATTCTTGCCTGTAGTAGCTAGCTATTGCTCAAATGGAGCTACTACACTCATCAAAACTGGGAAAAATATCTTTGTTGATTTTTAGTGAATTTTTCCAATTTCATTTTCGTTACTGTGAAGGGGAAAACTAAATTTTTCTCAAATTCTTGCCTGTAGTAGCTAGCTATTGTTCAAATGGAGCTACTACACCCATCAAAACTGGGGAAAATATCTTTGTTGATTTTTAGTAATTTTTTCCAATTTCATTTTCGTTACTGTGAAGGGGAAAACCATATTTTTCCCAAATTCTTGCCTGTAGTAGCTAGCTATCATTGAATGGGAGCTACTACACCCCTCAAATCTGGGAAAAAAGTCTTTGTTGATTTTTATTAAATTTTTCCAATTTCATTTTTCTTGCTGTGAAGGGGAAAACAATATTTTTCCCAAAAGTTTGGCTGTAGTAGCTAGCTATCATTGAATGGGAGCTACTACACCCATCAAATCTGGGGAAAAAGTCTTTGTTGATTTTTAGTACATTTTTCCAATTTCATTTTTGTTACTGTGAAGGGGAAAACCATATTTTTCCCAAATTCTTGCCTGTAGTAGCTAGCTATTGTTCATTGGGAGCTACTACACCCATCAAAACTGGGGAAAATATCTTTGTTGATTTTTAGTCTTTATTAGTCTTTTTGACCTCTTGCAATTTGCAGACGGTCCCTTGCGAATATCAGGCGAATATCAAACGTTCGGCCAACTTCACCTCGGTTTAAAATTGTCATTAAACTGTGTGATGCATGTTTTGATGTTATTCCTATTTAGATGTACATTTTCAACATGAGATTCCTGCAATCAATATTTGTAAAGGCCAAAAAGAGGTAAGCAAAGTCGCAGCATATGTTATTATAGTGGGTCTATGAAAAATGTTTACCCTGTTTACTTCCACGCTGTCTTTTACACAAGTCTTTATGTGCAGGTGTGGCTATGGGTGATTATCATTTGGGGCTATTATCATTTTTAGCAACATCGTGAACTTGTATTCTAATTATTTCATTGGTACTTTGGTGATTTATTTATTTATTAATTACTCAATTATTTTACTGATTTTATTTATTTATTTAAACAAGGACAGTGTACAATTTAGAACATAAATGTTTTGAGTAATTCATTGCACCAGAGTTACACTAAGGTGGCGTCAGTACCATATGATCATATGGAGAGTGGTCTAAAAACCTTTCAGAGTAACACATTACTTAATAAAGTTCGGATGAGCATTGCACTGTGTAGAAGCTTTAGATTCGCTAACGTATTGATATAGCCTTTTTGAATTGTAACGTGTGATTGCTTTTATATGTAGGTCTGTGGTATTTATTTTCATCTTGTGTCTCTGCAGCAAGTTTATAAATTCTTCTACCGTCTCCCAATAGGAATGACATGCCCATATATAGGCAAGGCAAAGCAAGACAGTTTATTCATACTCATGCAACTCCAAAGTTACTTATTAAACAAAAGAAGACACATTACAATCCCAAAACAAATGAATATGCACATTTATTTTGAAAATGATTAAATATACTGTACATGATTCAATGAATGACAGGTGATTGAGTTTTATGTCTCACTGTGGGGCACATTACAGGCAAAGAATCTCTATGACAGTAACTAGAAGGTGTGCACTTCCACCTAACAACACGTTGTAGGTGACAAAGGGAAAGAAAACAATGAATCACATTTTACATTTATGTTACACTGTTAACTCCCTGAAGAGAAACTGTACAACTTGAGAAAGCGTATCAATGTTTCGCCTGCATGAAAAACCCTATGTTTGTAATTGAATAAAGCTATGGATTACAAGGCACAATATTTGAGTCTGTGGCTTGTTTTTTGCAGCCACAGGATGAAGTATGCTCTTCGATGTTTGCTCCTCTTACCCCTAGTGTTGTGTATCATCTTGTTCTCTGCACCATCCATAAGGTAAATGTAAAAACTTTAGATTTGAAAGTATACCACATGTTGTTCTCTGTATTTGTCATGTCATTGTGTGTATTTTCTGTGTCAGGATAGCGATAGGGCTGCTCCCAATGGATAAGTGCAGCTTGCAGAGTGGAAAGATGCTTCTTCTGGACAGCAGCGTGGATGCCACCCTCAGTGTGCAGTGAGTGAGAACCAACACATTGTCATTCTTCAGATTCCTTCTTAATATAATCACAAGATGCTATGTCTGGTTTCTAAAACAGCTTCTTTACCCATACACTCTAGACAGATACCAAAATAACATAATTCCTAGCATAAATAAGTATTGTAGGAAGTGTTTTAACAAGGAGCTGTTTTAAGTGAAGTTCTTTTGAAGAATTAACTAAAAGATATTTTTATAGAATAAAATAAAAATATTTTTTTGATGATTTTTATTGTGAAGTGAGACGTGTTTTGGTTCCTGTTTGAATGTCTTATTGAGGCGGTTCATTCAAAAGATTATTGTTGGATGGCTATGGTTTTGTGAACTGCCATACTTAAAGCTGCACTAACTGACTTTGGGATTTTGAAGCCGTGGACTCGCTGGCCTCTCTCTTTCTGCTCCCCTCCCCGCACCCACGAAGCTATCGCCCCCCACACACACCCACTGTTGGGACGGAGTTAGCGTCTCCCAATATGGATAATACACGAATATGGATTTGCACGTGGATGGCGTGACCATAGAACGATAGAACCGGGAAGCGCGGAGGAACGGGACTTTCTTTTGGATGGCTGTTTCGCTGTGTAAGCAGTAACCGATGACGAAGACACATGAAGCTTCAGGTTAGCTCCTCGTCTTGTTGTGCTAACTCAGCCGTCTATGCTAACAGACCTGTAGATTTCTCACGAAAGTGGGGGCTAGTGGTGCGCTGTGATTGGTCACAATCTTCTCTTCCTTGTTTCATCAAAACTCGATCTAAAATATAATGTCACGGCAGCACAAACCTGCGCTACTTTTTCTTCAAAATGATGTATATCCCAATGCACTACATGGACATGGATAGCATTTTTGTAATGAATATGAAAATAAAGTCAGTTAGTGCAGCTTTAAACCAAGCCTGACTCTTGCCAGACCCTTGTAGTTCCACCATGCTCCACCAGAGGCGTTTCGCACACACAAGGGTCTGGTATCAAGCGCATAGCAAACTCCTTCAGCAGATCAGATAATAATCGACCAATCAGGATCGCAGGTGTTATGTCGGGTTTGCACCGCCTTCAAGCTTGTCTCATGCATGGATCTATAATAATAACTGGATAGGGTATTACTAGCTTACAGCTGTCCCACCTATGGGCACAGGGGGCGCCCGTGGTACTGCAGACAAAATTCACGAGGGCTACCCAGAAAAAAGTCCCATAGAACTCAATGTATATTAAAACGGCACGACTTCAGCTGACAGAGAGCCTACAGCTTTCAGAAAGATCGGATTTTGTGGGGATTTTAGTGTCCCTTGTCATCCTGAACTTTTTTTCACACTTTACTGCCACAAACTCTGCTCCCTGCCTTCTTGCTCTGGCTCCGCTCTTCCGCTGTTCTGATGAGCAGCTCTGATTGGTCAGAGCGCGGCCGAGCCCCTCTGTGCGTGTGCATGAAAGCCACACACGCACGTCTGGCGCAACGCATCATGGGAGATGATCCACTGCGCAGAACCGGGAGGACCAGACGATGCCCAAATATAGGCGAGTTCAGCTAATCTCCCGGTCTCCGTGAAGTCCCATGCGCTACTGAGCACAAGCCATTCATTTCAATAGGGCGCCATCTTGGATCACCGGGGCTTGGTCTCACGCGGCAGCGAAAGCAATCCAAGATGGCAGACATAAAGTCCGTGGATTTAAAAAAAAAGTTTAAATACGAACAAACTAAGACACAGATGATTTTTGTCAGTAGCTGACAGTAGGGCTGACAGTAGGGCGCCAGTAGCTCAGTTGGTAGAGCATTGGCCTTAAGGCCAGAAGGTCGTGGGTTCAATTCCCACCTCTGCACCTTCTCCATCGACTCCCACTGATGACTGCTGTCGTTGTGTCCTTGGGCAAGACACTTAACCCCACTTTGCCCAAAAAGCCCCCACTGAAAGATCAAGGCTATGCTCACACTCAAAGAGCAGCCGTCCTGCTGTGGACTCACCACCTGCAGAGGGTCAGTGAGGGGCTGGTGCTATGAGATTTGGGTGGCATCTCTGATTGCCACCCCCCTGACCCAGAAATGGATTAAAGGGTAGAAAATGGATGGATGGATGGATAAGACACAGATGTCACTTTTAATGCAATATGAGGCAAGATGTTGATGGTTCCATGTTGTTATATGTGTGTTTTAAGAGTCAACTGTTCCTGTAAAGTTTGGTTTCAGTACTAGTTTAAGTGTTCCTGTTTACAACACAATGCAGCAGGGTTGCCCGGTTGGGTGGTTTCCGGCATACTTTTTTCCAAGAGACTTGTTGGTAATAAAGACAATAAACAGAATCGCGATTAGCCCAAGTTGATTACATTACGTTTTTAGCCAAAAAATCATTCTGGGGGTTTTTTGGGGGGGGCATTCTTGGGGGTTTTGGGCTGGAAAATCTTGCCGGCATTTGGCAACCAATCACATCGTTATGCTAGTTCAGCCAGGTGTCCTTAAACAGTCGCCCGATGAAAGAATGGAAACTACAAACTTAGATAGATATAAAAGAAGGTTTAATATATAAAACAGAATACATATAAAAGACAGGCAGAGAGAAAAGCCTGGGTCTGCACGGACGAGAGCCAAAGCACAAAAGACCACGCTGATAGTTAGGCCTGCCCTCTTATACCAGAGGATTTAAAACACATTGACAATATGACCTATGAACTCTAGGTTAGAAAACAATCTTCTCATCCATCAGAAGAAGTGTCTTCTTGTATGAGACCAACTCAACCCAGATGTTTTCTGGCTTCATGCTTGTTTACTCTTCTCGTCTTTCACTCTTGCCTGGGGGCTGAAAGAATTCTGCTTTCTCGCCACCCTCAATGCATGAGTTGGTTAACTTGACTAGACCCTACTAATCTACACATATTTATTAATATGATAATACACATAACATTTATTAAAACACATACAAGGAATTTTTTTAATTTTTTTTTTTTTTACAAGGCCCCGCCTTCTGAAATCCAACCGCTATGGAGGAGGCCCAGACCCATGTGAGAAGCGCAGCTCTGGCGAGAGTCAGGCTAACTTAAACCAATAACATTTAGTCTACATCTCGATTCACACAAGATCACAACTTTGGTTTCATTATCCTGTAAGGCTTTACTGGCAATTCATTAATAATTATTGTAGCACGATAAAGGTAAGATAGTTTATCCACAGAACTTAATCAAGGAGTTTAACATACATCTAGGTGACACCAGCTAAAGTTATGTTTACCACTATGGTAAAAATTCTAAAAATGTCCTGTTAGGAAGAGTTCAGGAATACTACATGAGCTTTGAATGCCATGGCTCGAAATAGTACAGTTTACAGTTGATGACATTGTGTATTGTACCCGGACAAACAGCCAATCCAGCGTATTTAGCAAAGCTCACAAGTGGGACAATGGTGATCATCCAGATCACCTCCTGGATCAAGGACTTTAAGCCTAGCGTACATCGACAGAGAAACTGGAGACAACTAGTTGCAAGGCGGCTTTTGGCAACTGAGAGGAGACGGTGGGAGATGATCAGTTGCTGAAATCGGTCGATGTGCGCGCTCTTACAACTGGAGATAATCAGTCGGTCTCCAGTTTCAGTCAGTTGCCCGTGTTCTACTTTTCAGCAACTAGTTGTCCTCAGTTTCGGAGATATGACCCGATGTGCGCGCTCCATGCGCCGCTCCGACAACGTGTGTGTATTGCGTGTATTGCGAGCGCGCAACACTTTATGTCAGAAAACACACTGTAGTTGAGGCCAGTTGCTGTCGATGTACGCGCTGTTATTCCCGAGACTGGTCTGCTACTGGGAGTTGCCCGTTTTCGTCAGATTGTCGATGTGTGCGGGGCAGCAACTCATATGCGACGGATATAATCAGTTGCCAGTCCGATGTATGCTAGGCTTTAAATGCACCTTTTGGGGAATATTCACTAGAATATTTTCTTTGTAATATTCACCAATAAAACTTCTGGCTTGTTCTGCTGAATGGGACCAGAGCTGTTGTGGAAATGCATGTGCTACAGCTTTAGTGCAGTAACAAGAAGTTAAAACGGACTGGCCATGTGTCCCTGTCTACTCTGCACACACTTCCTCCTGAGATGGATTATAATCCTCCGCAAAGGAGCACTCGCCTGCACCTGGGCTCCCACAGAGAAGTGATCCATGCTTATTGCGCTGCTGTCTGCTCATGAACTGGCCTAATAATAGGGAAGTGATCATATGGCGGCCATTAACCACCTTCATTGAAAAATAAATGTCATAAAAATGTGAAATTGTTACGGAGGCCCATAATGTCTGGATGTTCATTGACAATCTTAACCCCACAACCCGACCAGAGATGTCTTTAAATTTACACTGGCAATATACTGAAAAAGTATTTTGGTGGGTTCTTTCTTTTTGTTTATGCTTGTTAAAAAGAATAACTATATATAATCATAAATCCATAAATCCAAAAACAAAAGAGATAAAATAGTCCTATAATTCATATTTCTATTGGACATTTCCCATCATATTCTTTTTCCTCGTGTACAGAGCTGCAGATCTCATTATAAACGGATGTTACATGTCCTTTCAATCGAGTTACTTTCGGAAATAGCAGCTGACCTGCCAGAAAAGTATTGAGATTAATGATATTGTTTCGGTACAGATAGATTTTACAATAAAATATTTATTTTATTTAAAAACTAACTTGATATCATTTGTTTGGTCATATTATACAGTAGAGAGATGTTGCTGTGTTATTGTGGACTCAAGAGTTTGTGTCTGGATTAGATTAGACTTTGCTTTGATGACTGAGGAGGAGGAAAGTGAATGTTGTCTCCTCTGTAAATGAGTTGCTTCCAAATTAATCTGTGCGATCTATGAGCAGGAGGTTGAATATATTAAGTATGTGTTGAAAAGTTGTACAAAACATGTACACACTGCAAGGCAAGTTTATTTGTGTACGTAGCATATAGCAATTCATATACAGGGTAAGTGTTACAAATTACGTAAAATTATAAT